CTGAGTCCAAATCTCCCAGCTTTTCCACCGAGCCGTGATGCCTCTCTGCAGTCTCTTCCTGGAGTTCCTTACGTTTTTACCCTCCTCCATCAAATTTCCCCTCTACAGAATTTCCATGTTAAAGGTAGTTTCTTATTCAGTATCCTGACATTCAGTTAGGGGTTTGTGCCCCTCTGTCACACTGAAATCACTCTATCTCATAGCATCATAATTCTGCTAAAAGTCAGAATTTGTTTTGTTTTGTTTTTTGTTTTTTGAGACAGAAGTTAGCTTTTGTTGCTCAGGCTGGAGTGCAATGGTGCGATCTCAGCTGACTACAACCACCTCCTCCCGGATTCAAGCGCTTCTCTTGTCTCAGCCTCCCAAGTAGCTGGGATTATAGGCATGTGCCACCACACCCAGCTAATTTTATATTTTTAGTAGAGAAGGGGTTTCTCCATGTTGTTCAGGCTGGTCTCGAACTCCCAACCTCAGGTGATCTGCCCGTCTCAGCCTCCCAAAGTGCTCAGATTACAGGCATGAGCCGCCATGCCTGGCCTGAATCGTAGGGTAGTTATATTTATAGTTAAAAATTTTGGGCCGGGCATGGTGGCTCACACCTGTAATCCCAGCATTTTGGGAGTCTGAGGCAGGTGAATCATTTGAGGTCAGGAGTTCCAGACCAGCCTGGCCAACATGGCGTGACCTCATCTCTACTAAAAATACAAAAATTACCCCAGCATGGTTGGGGGTGCCTGTGGTCCCAGCTACTCAGGAGGCTAAGGCACGAGAATCACTTGAACCTGGGAGGCAGAGGTTGCAATGAGCTGAGATCACACTACTGCCCTACTGCCTGGGCAACAGAGGGAGACTCTGTCTCAAAAGGATAATAATAATAACAATATGCCAGTCACTCTTCTTAAAAATAAAATAAACAAACTTACAAACAATAAAAAAGTATCTTCCAGTGTATCTGAGATCATTGAACTTGGCCTTCATTAATTTTATCAACATTTGTTCAGTCTCTCTCTCTCTCTCTCTCTCTCTCTCTCTCTCTCAATTCACTTACTGGGCTATCTTTCCTCTTCGTCTCACCATCACTCAGGCATGAGTTAAATGGCTCAGTGTCCTCCCAGCAGGTATGAGACGATGAAGCTAGATGTTTGGACCAGCGGATGCCACATAGAGGTACTGGGAATATGTCCTCCTGGCCCAAAGAAGAAAAGGGGATAAGTTGTAGGAACTGAGGGAATATGTACAATTTCTGGGCCAATCAGAAGTCAATTCCCCGAGCTCCTTGTTATGCAAATTGTCTAATTTCATCTCTATTCCCTGAATAGTTCTGTTTCCTATGGGGGCTGGGACATGGCAGTAAGAACCATTTTACATCTTCTTTGGGGTAAGATGCATGTTTCCTAACTTTCTCTGCACCCTCTCCTCCAGGAGCAAATTCTCCTTGTCTTCTAAGCTCAGTCTTTCCAATGCCCAGGGCTTCTCCTATCAGAAGGTTCCATTATTACTGGAAGCCATTGTTTCTCCTCACTTAAAGAACTAAGAGGCCAGGCATGGTGGCTCACTCCTGTAATCCCAGCACTTTGGGAGGGCAAAGTGAGTGGATCACCTTAGGTCAGGAGTTTGAGACCAGCCTGGCCAACATGGTAAAACCTCATCACTACTAAAAATACAAAAATTAGCTGGGCGTGATGGCAGGCATCTGTAATCCCAGCTAGTTGGAAGGCCGAGGCAGGATAATTGCTTGAACCCGGAGGCAGAGGTTGCAGTGAGCCGAGATCGCACCATTGCATTCCGGCCTGGGGGACAAGAGTGAGGCTGAGTCTTATATAAAACAAAAAAGAGCTAAGAAACACTTCAAGCATCTTCCCATGTTCACCCAGTGATCTGTCACCAAGACACAGGGTTGCCTGCTTTCATCACTGAACCTCAACAGGGCAACCCTCTACAAAGACTTTTTTCCCAAATAAGTAACATTCACCCTTTTGTCATATAAGCTCAGATTCAAGGCCAGGCACAGTGGCTGATGCCTGTAATCCCAGCACTTTGGGAGGCCGAGGTGGGAGGATCACTTGAGTCCAGGAGTTCAAGACCAGCCTGGCCAACATGGCAAAACCCTGCCTCTACTAAAAATACAAAAATTAGCTGGCCATGGTGGCAGGCACCTGTAATCTCAGCTACTTGGGAGGTTGAGGCAGGAGGATTGCTTGAACCCAGGAGACAGAGGTTGCAGTGACCCAAGATTTCGCCACTGCACCACAGTCTGTGTGACAGGGCGAGACTCTGTCTCATAAGTGAATGAATGAATGAATGAATGAATGAAAGATCAGATTCACAAGTGAGAGGATTAGAATGTGGATATAGTCTTCTGAGGGCTACCAGGCAACTCATGATGGAAATGTCTTCTGGTTGACTACATGAAAGTATCTATTATCAATGAACCCAGGAAAGGGTTCTCAGTTTTCTGTCTCTGGGAATCAGGTCTAGACATGGCTGCTGCATTGATTGACACTACCTGTTGACGCAAGAAAACCAGTGCTGGCTGGAGTGAATTCGTAAAGGACTGAAGGATGCCCTATCCTATTCCTGCACATTCCCTCATTCTGAGGTCCTTGTTATGAAAGAGAACTGTCTTCACTATTTGAGCATATTAGAGTTAGGGTTTCTATTTATTATTTATGTATGTATAGATGTATTTATTTAGTCTTGCTCCATCTCCCAGGCTGGAGTGCAGTGGTGCGATCAGCTCGCTGTAACCTACACCTTCCAGGCTCAAGCAATTCTCCTGCTTCAGCCTCCTGAATAGCTGGGATTACAGGCTCCAGCCACCACGACCGGCTAATTTTTGTATTTTTGGTAGAGACAGGGGTTTCACCACGTTGGGCAGGCTGGTCTCGAACTCCTGACCTCAAGTGATCCACCTGTCTCAGTCCCCCAAAGTGCTGGGAATACAGGCGTGAGCCACCATGCCTGGCCAGGGTTCTTATTTTATTTTTTTATTATACTTTAAGTTCTGGGGTACATGTGCAGCACATGGAGGTTTTTTATACAGTTATCCACTTGCCATGGTGGTTTGCTGCGTCCTTCACCCCATCATCTACATTAGGTGTTTCTCCTAATGCTAGCCCTCCCCTAACCCTCTACCCCCCGACAGGCTCCAGTGTGTGATGTTCCCCTCCCTGTGTCCATGTGTTCTCATTGTTCAACTCCCACTTATGAGTGAGAACATGCGGTGTTTGGTTTTCTGTTCTTGTATTAGTTTAGTGAGAATGATGATTTCCATCTTCATCCATGTCCCAGCAAAGGACGTGAACTCATCCTTTTTTATGGCTGCACAGTATTCCATTGTGTATATGTGCCACATTTTCTTTATCCAGTCTATCATTGATGGGCATTTGGGTTGGTTCCAAGTCTTTGCTATTGCGAACAGTGCTGAAATAAACATATGTGTGCATGTGTCTTTATAACTGAATGATTTATACTCCTTTGGGTACATACCCAGTAATGGGATTGCTGGGTCAAATGGTATTTCTAGTTCCAGATCCTTGATGGAACCTAAGGCGTCCTCATTTATGAAGTTCAAATATCTCACAATCATCTCAAACCTCTAAGATAATCTAATTTTTATGATATCTAAATATTTTTCATAAATCTAATTTTTAATGATAAAACTGAGTATAATAGATGCTAACGTTGTGTAGGGAGAATATAGTTTACCACTGACTGGTCCCACTAATTACTAAATTGGATATGAAAACTTAGCCCCCTTTACCCACTGTAGGTGTACACTGGTGTACAATTGATATGACCCTAAATATGCAATAAGGTGGAAGCTTGTCTCCAGATATAACAACAGGCTAGCTTAAATCCTTTTCTTGGCAGGGCACAGTGACTTACACCTCTAATCCCAGATCTTTGGGAGACCATGGCAGGAGGATCACTTGAGCCTAGGTTTTGAGACCAACCTGGCCAACATAGCCAGACCCCATCTCTACACCACACACTGGGCATGGTGGTGCATGCCTGGAGTCCTAGCTTCCTAGGAGGCTGAGGTAGGAGTGCCCCTGGAGTTTGAGCCCTGGAGTCCTGGAGTCTGAGTCTGTAGGGAGCTATGATCATGCCATTGCATTCCAGCCTAGGCGACAAGGCAAGACTGTGTCTGTGAAAAAAATTCCATCCCTATTAATGATACAAAAATTAGCCAGGCATGGTGGCAGGCGCCTGTAATGCCAGGCACTTAGGAGGCTGAAGCAGGAGAATGGATTGAACCTAGGAGACAGAGGTTGCAGTGCTCCAAGATTATGCCATTGCACTCCAGCCTGGCCAATAGAGCAAGACTCAGTCAAGAAAGAAGAGAAGAGAATGAGCTAAAAAAAAATAATAATTAATAAATAAATAAATAGAAAAGAAAGAGTCAGATGGCTGGGTGCAGTGGCTCACACCTGTAATCCCAGCAGTCTGAGAGGCCAAGGCAGCCTGGCCAACATAGTGAAACCCCATCTCTACTAAGAATACAAAAATTAGCCGGGTGTGGTGGCACATGCTTGTAGTCCCAGCTACTCAGGAGGCTGAGGCAGAAAAATCACTAGAACCTAGGAGGTTGAGGTTGCAGAGAGCCAAGACCATGCCATTGCACTCCAGCCTGAGTGACAGGGTGAGACTCTGTTGAAAGAAAGAAAAGAAAAGAAAGGAAAAGAAAAGAAAAGGAAAGAAGGAAGGAAGGAAGGAAGGAAGGATGGAAGGAAGGAAGGAAGGAAGGAAGGAAGGAAGGAAGGAAGGAAGGGAGGGAGGGAAGGAAGGGAAGAAGGAAAGAAAGAAAGAAAGAAAGAAAGAAAGAAAGAAAGAAAGAAAGAAGGAAGGAAGGAAGGAAGGAAGGAAGGAAGGAAGGAAGGAAGAAAGAAAGAGGAGAGAGAGAGGAAGGAAGGAAGGAAGGAAGGAAGGAAAGAAGAAAGGAAGAAAGAAAGAAAGAGTCAGGCATTCTAGCTCACCAGGAATCCTGTCACTTTGACTTACTCTAAAAACCCGAATCCAAAGCAAATGGCACACCACAGAAGAGAAGTCATCCTCCCCATGAACTTCCTCAAGGTTCCCTTCATGTCCTTATTCCTCAGACTATAGATAAAGGGGTTCACCATTTGAGGAACCACAGAATACATCACTGAAGCCACCGCAGTCTTCCTAGGTGAGTCAGTACTGCAGAACTAAAGTACACCCCCAAACCTGTCCCATAGAACAAGAGCACCATGGAGAGGTGAGACCCACAGGTGGAAAAGGCTTTATACTTTCTGTGTGCTGATGGCATTCTCAAAACAGAGGAGGCGATTTGAGTGTAAGAGAAAATGATTCCAGACAGAGGAACACCACCAAATATGCAAGCTGCAAAATATATCAGGATGTTATTGATGAGGGTGTCAGAACAGGCAAGTTGGATGACCTGAGCCAGTTCACAGAAGAAGAGCGGGATTTCCAGGTCTGTGCAGAAGGACAGCCTCAACACCATCAGGCTGAGAAGAAGGGCGTTCACAACGCTAGTCAACAGAGAGAGAAGAATCAGCAGGCTGCAGAGGCAGGGGTTCATGATGACCGTGTATCTAAGGGGGTGACAAATGGCCACATAGCGGTCGTAGGCCATTGCTGCAAGAAGACAGTTTTCCAAGCCAGCAAAAAGCAGGACAAAGCAGATCTGGGTGAGGCAGCCTGTGTAAGTGATGCTCTGATTCTGAGCTTGGATGTTCACCAGCGTCTTTGGGATGGTGGTTGTGCTTAAACAAATGTCAGAAAAGGAGAGACTGGAAAGGAAGAAGTACATGGGGGTGTGGAGGTGGGAGTCAGAGGTGACAGCCAGGAGGATGAGCAGGTTCCCCACGATGGTGACCAGGTACATGGACAGGAACAGGCTGAAGAGGACGGGCTGCAGTTCTAGATCCTCTATTAGTCCCAGGAGAAGGAATTCTGAAACAGATGTTTGGTTTCTAGCTTCCATGCTGTTGATGATGAATCTGATGGAAAAGATAATAAAGTGTGAGAAGCAGCAGCTGCCGTGGCATCACTGGGGAACATGACAGAAATGTAAAATCTTTTTTTTTATTTTTTTCTCTGAGATAGAGTCTTGCTCTGTTGCCAGGGTGGAGTGCAGTGCCACCATCTCAGCTGATTGCAACCTCCACCTCCTGGTTCAAGTGATTCTCCTGCCTCAGTCTCCTGAGTAGCTTGGATTACAGGTGTGCACTACCACGTATTGTGTTCAGATTATATATATAAAACAATATATATATTATGCTTTATGGGTAATTTGGGTAATTTTCAAGGATGAATTTTACTGTGTGAGATTTTGCCTTGTGCTGACTGAAGTACCTAACTCCCAAATAAAGATGAGATTGTGAACTTCTAAAAAAAATTGTATTTTTAGTAGGGATGGGTTTCACTATGTTGGCTGGTCTTGAACTCCTGACCTCGTGATCCACCTGCCTCAGGTGGAGGTCAGGGATTCAAGACCAGCCTGGACAACATGGAAAAACACTGTCTTTACTAAAAATACAAAAATTAGCCAGGCTTGGTGGTGCACACCTATAATCCCAGCTACTCAGGAGGCTGAGGCAGGAGAATCGCTTGAACCCAGGAGGTGGAGGTTGCAGTGAGCCGAAATCACACCACTGTACTCCAGCCTGGGTGACAGAGCAAGATTCCGTCTCAAAAAACAAAACAAAAATATAAAAATTAGCCAGGCATGGCGGTACACACCTGTAATCCCAGCTACTTGGGAGGTTGAGGCAGGAGAATCACTTGAACCCAAGAGGCAGAGGCTGCAGTGAGCCAAGACTGTATCACTGCATTCCACCCTGGGTGACAAGAGCGAAACTCTGTCTCAAAAAAAAAAAAAAAAGTCACACATATACACCATGCCTTAGAATACTAGACAGCCATTAAAAAAGGAACGAGATCATGTCCTTTGCAGAAACATGGATGGAGCCAGAGGCCATTATCCTACGTAAACTAACGCAGGAACAGAAAAACCAAATACTTCACTTTTTCTCACTTATAAGTGGGAGCTAAATACTGATTTCACATAGACACAAGGGAGTGAGCAACAGACACTGGGGCCTACTTGAGGGTGGAGATTGGAAAACTACCTATGAGGTACTATGCTTTTGTTGTTGTTGTTGTATACACACACAGTGTGTGTGTGTGTGTGTGTGTGTGTGTGTGTGTGTGTGTGTGTGTG